ATATTTGATGAGAAGTAGAAGATTAGAATAGATATGGAAAAGAGAAATATGAGAAATGAGTTAGAGGAAGTGATGATGGCGTGCAGAGGGTTTGCCTGTGCTTCCTTTTTGAACAGATTCAGATTCAGATGAAGATGAAGATGGAGAGACGTCTGCATCTGATGAGAGTTGAATCATCTTCGTTTCTCAGTCAGATGTGACAGACTTGAGCTTAAATGTTGCCTCTGCATTACATCACAGTTATAACGCTTATTCATGATGTCTGGACTTTCCTCTGCCTGTTTCTCACACTTTTCTACTCCTTTGATCCTTTTTCTGTCTTTCTTTAGTTCCATGTCTATGTCCGCTAGACAAATACTCAAATACTAAAAGGAATCAGCTTTGTGTGTTTTGTGTGAGTGCTAGTAAGTAAACGTTAAACATACCAACACACTCAACTAAGAAGGTGATAATGGCCAATATCATATTAATGGTTTAAACTGGCAGTGCCGACAAACATACCATTTAAAGATGACATCTCTTTTTGGCTGATTCTATTATTTACACTTTATTTAACAAAAGGTTAAACAATAAATTGAAGAAAATACTTGACACTAAAGCAAGGAAGGAATGCAAATGAGTTGAAGCCCTACTAAAATAACACTTCTGCTGTTTTCTATCAGAATTGATCAGGTCTTTTTTTATTATTTAAGTTTAGCCTCCTTTTCTTTCTTTTTTCAACATGTTTGTATTAAAGCAAGTTCAAGACATACAGTGCAATTGGGATGCACATCAACATTTTTCTTTTTTTCCCCCAGAAACATTCAAAAACCCAGTAACCCAGTATCACTTCTCCCTATAAACAACCCTCCCAGTCCAACAAATAGACCTCTTAGTTCAAAGACAAGAATAAAAGGCACGAGAGGAAAGGATCGGTATCGGCAGGCGATGGTGTACTACTTTAATACCACGTCAGGTGAAAGTTTCTCAAAATATTGAAGCAGAGGTCTCCAGTGAGTGTAAAACCAAAATCAGAGCACCTCTAAGAGTGAATTTAAATTTTAGCCTTCTTTTCGAGTTTGTATTCTTTCTCCAGATCGGATGAAGTTATTGAGTTGTTGACTGCCTGGTGGTCAGGAGACTTTGTTCACAGAAAGAAGCACCTTAACATAGAAGCAAGCCCCTGTGTGTGCTGCTAATATACACACACACACACACACACACACACACACACACACACACACACACACACACACACACACACACAGACTCATTTGATTGCATTGTAACTGACATGGAACGATCAACCAGCTGATGACTGGGAACAGATGATTTTGACCGGCCGGCCCTCACAGCTAAAGGCCATTCTAGTGCAATTAATCAAGTTTCAATTTGAATTACGACTTTGTCTTCACACGGTCATGAAGACAAGATAATCGAGATTAACCAATGAATGTGCCCCACACTGCGTTGTTCTTGTTTTGGCCAAATGTTTTGTTATGTGTGGTAAAGGAATGTATTTAACAGAAACTTAAAAAAACATGATAAAGTTAGTTTGAAAACAGTGCAAAAAGAACATAATCAGATGTTAAGGGATGAAAGGAGGAAGCACAAAGATATTATAGAATCTTATTCAATGGTCTAAAAAGCTGCAACTAACATGACCACAGGTAGGAAGTGCCCATCAAAAAATGACACACTGAAAAAAAAGCAAATTAAGTCGGATGATTTTCTTCTCAGGTTTGAAACACAAAGACTTTTCCATGGAATGTAATAAAGTTTATTTATAAGCGTTTTATTTATTTATTTATTTATTTATATAAAATATTTTTTCACATATTTATTTTCATGCATTTCTTGTAATGTGAAGTGTTCAGAATGAGATATTGTTAAGAGTGTTTGAGTTCGATGCAGATGTCAAATCAAAAGAGTTATCGTGTTTTATAATCCTGATCTCAATATTAATCAAAATATTTTTTGTCGTCGTGGGCTGGCCTAGCCAATTCTTTCCCAATTTCAGAGTTTGTTTTGTTTTACATGTGTATGTATGTATGTATATGTATATATATATATATTTTTTTTTTTTATTGGTGATAAGGTGAACAAAAAGAAACAAGAAGATATAGACATGACAACTAAAGCGAGAACAAATAAACAAAGACAAAAAAAATAAAAATAAAACATACAGACAAAACACGTTTGAGTGAAATGAAAGTCATTGCTTTACATATATGAAGACACGTCCACTATAAATGATGACATAACAGTTAATTAACAGTCTGCCTTTAAGTATGAACCTCAAATTGAATTTTCATTCAAGAAAAGTTACAAAATAATTGTCTTTGATGTCAATTATAGTTTTTTTTTTTTTAAAGTTGTTTTTTGGGCCTTTTTTGGATAAGACAGCTGAAGAGAGAGAGGAGCTGCTCGGAGGATAGAGTGGTGATGGCATACAGCAAAGGGCTCAGGTCGGATTTGAACCCAAGGACGCTGTGGCAAGGCCTACGACCTATGTACATGGGTCGTGCAACGTAACCACTAGGCCATCAATTATAGTTCTTGAAAGACATCTTTGGGATCAGCCAAAATCTGTGTCGGTTTGTCAGAACTTGAAAAAAAAACAGAAATTGAAATCTATTGCAGCTTTCCATAAAAAACAGAAACAAATACACTCTCTCCGTATTTCAACAGCAGGAAGTACAGACAACAAAGAGCGCTATGCTTAGGGAGGAAAAAAAAGACCTCCACTGGTGGTTTCCATGGAAACTGTCTCCCTTTTCACTTTAGGGGGAGGGCAAGCGTCTGGTGGATGAGTTAGGCCGACATTTAAGGTGGCTCATGGACAGAGTGGGAGGGAATTTAAGGTGGTTTGATGTTGTGAATCCATCTGAAATTCTGCCGCGAGGCTCAGACGGGTCGTGTGAGGTAATGGCGCTGCAGCTCTGGTGGTTGAGGCAGACAGCGAGGCAGAGCTGAGATAATTGCAGTGTGTACCCCTGTCACCTTGTGCTGCACAGTCAGCATGCTCAACAGCCAGGACACACACACACACACACACACACACACACACACACACACACACACACACACACACACACACACACACACACACACACACACACACACACACATTCACAAGTGGATTATTGATATCAAGATCACAGCTCTGGTTATAATTACATTACAGCATAAAGCGATGCTCTAATATCAGTGTTACTCAGACCTAATCATTGTGAAATGATAAAGATGAAGAAATGTGTCTGCATGAGTGTGCTTCAGTGAGTGACTGAATTAAACAAAAAAAAACATTGAGCGGTTTGAGGATAGAAATGATTATCTTCAATGATGATTATTCATATTTTTATTATTAAAAAAGATGTCTAATTAGATACATGGTTTTGTTCACCATCAATATTATGATAGAACCACAATTATTTATTATTATTTTGTACTCATTGTTTATTATTATTTAAAAAATGATTTAAATTGAGAAGTTGAAGGACTGTTTGTTATTTTTATGAATTACATTTGAAAAAAATCTCAAAACAAGTCTGTTTTCTTTCTTTCTTTTCATCTTTCAACATCTGTTTGGAGCTTTATTTTAAAAGAAAGCTTCATTCTGCGTGATTACAGTAAAGTATCCAAACATTATTCATGAAGACATAATTTACATATTAGGACTTTAAATAAATATAACTTTTTTTTAAATAAACTCATAATAAATCCGACTATTCACTATTCACAGTTCCTAGATTATTCGTAAATTATTGTGTGAAACGAGTCATCCTTAAATGTCTGAAAAAGTTCTCAAATATGTAGTATTATGTTAAAACAATGACTCAAACAGTTCCCTTGGTTAATGAGAGTTTAGATCTATCCAGCTGTTTGTTGAAGACTCTGTATATAAATATATATTTCTCATGCTGACTTCCTGTAGAGAAGACATTTGTTGCAGCTTTTCCTTTTCCTTGAGATTATTATTTCTTGACGTATGGAAGCTAGAAATTCAAACTGAAATGATGGCACTGATGTGTTAAGTGAGATTGTCTACTACACACACTCTATTCCCTCTTTGTCTGACTTGTTCAATTATTTCATCTCGGTCACCTTTTCTCTCACCGAGGTCGTCACTTCTTGGATGTCTTTGTGTTTTCATGTGCATGTGTGCTTATATGTGTTATAATTATAAAGCTCAGGGTCACACCATGTGCCACATTGTAAGTGTGTGATCTTTTTTTTTAATCTGTATGACACTAGCACCCCTTTACATCTGTCAGGTTTACTTGATTTCCCTGTAGGAAGCTTCCATATGAATGTCATGAATCAGAGTCTTCAATACAAGACATGTGGATGAATAATTATGAAGGAGGAAGATCAACCAGCTAACATGTCATGCTGATGAATGCTAATCAGAAGCTGTATTTCTATTTCCACACACATCACACAGAAATAAACACAATACGGCCAGGGCCGTAACAGTGTGTGTGTGCATGTGTGTGTGTGTGCGTGTGCCTGTGCGTGTGCGTGTGCGTGTGCGTGCGTGTGTGTGTGTTTCAGTAGAAAGTCAGGAGAAGTTAAATAGAGGAATTGGAAATAGAGTACAAGAACGTTCAGTGTCCTGAGACAATAGAGAAGGAGAGCTGAATCAGCAAAGGGATGGATGAAGTTAGTTAGCAAACAAAGAACCCGAGGAGGCAAAGACGAGTGTGTGGGTTGAGAATGTAGAGACAAACCTGAAGATGTTGAGGCTGTAGGCCATGAAGGAGAAGAGCAGAGGAGATGGATGATTTAAACGTCATTCTGTCTCCTGCTCTGCTTTGTATGGATGTCTTTGTTGTTATTGGTTGTCTCCATGGAGAAGCCGTCGCTACAGGTGGAGCGTTGTCTCTCTATTTAAGGAGCACTTTGGGAGCAGCTGACGTTGAGCTCTGAGATTCATGTTGTCTCCCCTCGGTGGTACCCTCCTCTGCTCTCACAATAAACTGACTTCATTTCCCTCGTCTGTTTTCTCTTCCTCTTAGAGCTGCCCTATGGCTGGGAGAAGATCGATGACCCCATCTACGGCAGCTACTATGTAGAGTAAGTCTCCCCGCTGACTTGGTAAACTCAGCTGCTCCTGTGTAGAGCAAAGAAATACACTTCTTCTTTCCTTTACACGGCCTCATTTTAGATTCAAACAACAACGTTTTCATGACTTGTTTTTTAATGAGTTACTCTTCATGAGTATCGTTAATGGAGAGGACAGTTTCTACATCTTGTCTTGTAAGTAATTATTTCTCTTCAACTACAAATGCTTTTCACTTTTGCTTCAGAACAATAGATTGTAGTTAAAAATTGCTCATGAAAAGAATAATTTCAAATATAGAACTTTTGCCACTAAGAAATAAAAATTGTTATAATTTTTTATTTTTTATTTAACCTTTATTTAAAGGCTTTATATGCAGAAATTACATTTCAGTAAGCTGGAGTAGAGTATGGAAATTATAGGCTCTATATGCAATTTTCTGATCCAGCAGATGTCGCCCTTGAGCACCAGCATGAAACCAAAACAACTCGCGCTGCATTGTTGTGTTAGCATGCTAATGCTAGCGATCTTTATTATGCTGGTATCTTCACACTGCATGTAAATTTACCTGAAATGAGCGTGATCTAGAAACACAGTTAAGCAGTGAGTACAGTATGTTATTCTTCTTTTCTCTAGTCCCTCAATTAAACAACTTTTATACACGAGGGGAGGAGTCAGCCGGCCGTCCGGGCGATGTAAACAAAGTGAAGATAGGACTCTGAAAACTCTGAAAACATCACAGACAGTGGGACTCGGGTGTTACACCCATTGTAGACAGTCATGACTCACAGAGTTATTTTCAGAGGAGATACTTTCAATCTTTCAAATACAAAAATACATTAGACATTAAAAGACACAAATAACAAATCCGAACAGTAAAATGTTTGTCCACACAAGTCATCCACAAACACATCAGGAAGAACATCTACAGCCAGATGTGTCCGCCTCCAAGTCATTTAACTTCCTCTTAAAAGCATCCAACGAGAGAACTTCATTAAGTTTCAGCTCTTTTTGTAACTCGTTCTAAGTAAAAGGAGCAGCAAACCTTTTTCCCCGGGTCAGAACTAGCCTGCAGCCAATTTTGTCATTTTCTAAATACTTTGCAGTTAATAGTTTGAAGAAAAAAAACATTGTTTGTCAGCAGAAGCAGAAATACATTTTTGTAGAAAGAGGTAAGACACAGTAAACCAACAAATCATAAAAGGACTGCTTTAAACTGGCAGCATAAGGGCTGCGAACCAGGTCAGATCAGAATGTTTTTCATGTATTAAGATGTGATTTAATTTTATATTACTTACACCTACAGCATACACATTAACCCTTTGTTAAATATTTACTATTCCTTTTTGTTTCCTGTTAATTTTGCCTTTATTCTAAACTATATGGGCCTTTTGCTTGCATGATTTTGTGTTGACTAGTTAGCTTTAACATGACCTGTGTGGACCACAGCAGTTATCCCTCATTATAAATATGCAACAGAGCTACAGGGAGTCATTCTGACACGACAGTATGCGCCGCAACATCAAGTTTAAAGCAGCTTAAATTTGGAGAGAGCAAAAAATAGCACAGCATCCTTTGTGAGTCTGACCTTAAGTTCGGGGCAGATCGCAGTGGAAGTGATGCTGCATGCTTTGTGGTTCTATCAGCAAGCAGACATCCATTCTTTGTAAATTCTTCCCTGCATTAATCTTGTAATGATTGTTTTTTTTTTCAGTCACATAAATCGAAGAACTCAGTTTGAGAATCCAGTCCTGGAAGCCAAGAGGCGTCTGGAGCAGCAGAGACAGATGCAGAGTCAGGGACTCTCTGCTCTGCCTCTGCCCACCATATACAGAGGTACACACTGAATACTGCAGCATGAAACTCAGATGGTTGTCCAAACATAAAAATGTAACCACATTGGGCTTTGTTTTTGTTTTAATGACCTTACTCTGGCGACTCATTTCTTTTAGGATTTATTTATTTATTTATTTTTTGGGGGGGGCTTTTTGTGCCTTTAATTGAGAGATAGGAGAGTGAATAGAGTTGGAAATCAGAGAGAGAGAGTGGGGAATGACATGCAGGAAAGGAGCCACAGGCTGGATTTGAACCTGGGCCGCCCTCTTGGAAGACTACAGCTTCCATACATGGGCTGCACGCTCTAACCACTGCGCCCCTTAGGATTGATTGTAAGGTTTTACTTCTTACTTTCAAAGCACTTCACGGTCTGGCCCCAGAACATATTTCTGAACTGCTGTCCCCTCACCAGCCAGTGGCAGCCTGAGATCCTCAGGCAGGAACCTTCTTACTGTTCACACCTCAAACTTGAAAACTAAAGGAGATCGAGCATTTGTATCTCGGGCTCCTCGGCTGTGGAACGACCTGCCTGAGGATCTCAGACTACATCAGTATCTTCTTTTAAATCACTTTTTAAAAACACATTTTTATAGTAAGGCCTTCTTATAATCCTTGTTTCATCCATGATGTTTTATTTTGTTTTACTGTTAACTTCAGCCAATCTTTGTCTCAGTTTGTTTCTCTTTCCTCTGTTCATTGGATGATTGCTGCACTGTTGTTTTATTTTTCATTCTTTTTTAATAGGATTTTATTGTTGTGTATTTGACTGTTGGGATTTTTCTTTTTTCTGTAAAGCACTTTGTGACGTTGGTTTTGATAAGTGCTTTATAAATAAACTTTATTATTATTATTATTATTATTCTGCAGTCCGTCAAGGACCTGAATTAATGACAATTTATTTCTGTGGTGGAGAGTATCATAGTTTCTCACTTCATCTCATATAACGGGCTGTTTCATGAGTATCGAATAGGACACATGCACAATGTGATAATGCAAAGGGTCATATAAAGATAACTGTGAGTGTGGGGGACACAGAACATTCTCGCCCTGAGGCAACTATTGGGCCAATCCAGGCGCTCACATATGAGTACAAACTAGACCAGTACAAAGTGTACTGCTTCATCCGAGGGAAAACGTCACATCTCCAATGTGACATCTTATAAGATAATAAAGTTAATCAGCCTTATTGGTGCTTATTTATTTAAAAACAAAAGTTGAATGTGTCAAACCAAATTGGAAGTTTCTAAATATTACAATTCACTTATCAGACACTTTTATCCAAAGCGACGTACATCAGAGAGTAAGAACAACACAAGCAAGGATCTAGAAAAAAGGGAACAATGTCAGTAAGAGCAAACGATCAGCTTTGAGTCTGATTGGACACACAGGTGCTGACAGGAAGTGACCAGAGGCAAAGCACAACATTGAGGGCAGTTCTTGAGAGCTCTAATCAGTATAGAAACCATCTTATAAGTCATCGTTATCAAACAAAAACCATCGTCATTACCATCATCATCATCAATAATATGGAGACCATCATCATTAAGTTAGTAGGTATTCATAAAGAGCTGGGTCTTTAGCTTTTTCTTAAAGGTGCAGAGGGACTCTGCAGATCACATGGAGTTTAGAAGTTCATTCCGTCATATTAATTTGTCTAAGATGTCACATTTCACTGTCTTCAACGTCTCTCCCCCCCCCTGCAGAGAAGCCATTGTTTACGAGGGACCCGACCCAGCTGAAGGGCACCTTCCTGTCAACAGACCTGCAGAAGAGCAACATGGGATTTGGCTTCACGATCATAGGGGGCGATGAGCCGGACGAGTTCCTGCAAGTGAAGAGTGTGATACCTGAAGGACCTGCTGCTCAGGACGGAAAGATGGACACAGGTAACTAAGTGTACAACACAGATTATATCAACTGGTTAAGGAATAAATGAAGACGTAAACAAAACTTCAGTTATCAGTAATGTTTGTATTTATACAAATGCTTGAAGCACAGCCTCTCTTATTCTGACACCTCAACCTTTTTTTTCAACCATGTTTTCCTCCAAAGCAAACCAAGAGATAAGAGCTTTTACTTGCAGAGATTCAATTTCATTCAAGCAGATTTGACCTGTTGGGTCTTTTCTGCACCTAAAAGACCCAGGAAAGCACAGTTAAGCATCAGGATCCAATAACATTTTTGCAGTAAAACACATACTGGGAATTACACTACACTACACTTCACTTGACTTCAGGGATACTTCACCCGTTGAAACATGAATCTGTACTGACGTTGGGTCATATATGTAGAAATGTGAAATACATTTTGAAGTTGGTGCCTTCTTGGCCGAGAAAAGGCAGAAAGTGTCTTTTTGGCTCATGTGGATGAAAGACACCAAATCCCAGAATGCACAGCACCGCAGGCCACTCCCACTAAGGTCCTCAATTTACAGACATATTTACTTCGGCCAGCAATATAGCCGCGAGACGGTTCCTGCCGACATGCCGGTCTTGAGATCGGCTGCAGTGGCCAGCGGCGGACCCGGCGGCTAGCGGCGGCTGCAGCAGCCGATCTCAAGACCGGCATGTCGGCAGAAACTGTCTCGCGGCTATATTTATATTTTTTCGCCATTATCAGCTTTCTCCATAGAGCCTGTTAGCTTAGCTTCCAAGCAATATGGCGGACGTTAAGTTTAGTTTCTGGGAGTGAGTTCCCACCCACTGATCTGTGATTGGTCTGTAGCTTCAGTGGTCGAAAATATGATGAACTAGCGTTGTAGTTTCACCCCGCTAACCACAACAGCTTCCAGTGACGCAATATGATGATTTTTGCATCACTGGAAGCTCCTTTTCAGACTCAGAAATACAAAGATTTCTCGTCTCAGGGGAAAATGAGGGCGGGATGCACGAGCATTCAAAAATACTACCAGGTTTCTAATGATACAAAGATTAATGCAGATGGGTGAAGTATCCCTTTAAAGTATAGGTGTCATTTATAAATGATTCTTCTAATATTTAGGAAATTGTTAAAGCAAATATTACAAATGGAGGTTTCTTTAAGACCCAGAGGAGGAAGGAGTGTTTGAGGCTTCATGTCCACTTTGCTTTAAGCCTGTGAGCGGCCTCATGCCGACACGTTGGTGCCTTAACAACTCATTTAATGCTCATGTCAGAGCTTCCTTCTCCCAGCTTATCCTCCCTGCTTTTATGTCTCATCTTCTGCCTATCCCCCTTTCTTCTTTTTCATCTGGAATCCATCTCTTTCTATTTTATCTCCATCTCTCTCATTGTCTCTCCGGCTCACCCTTTATTATGCTTCCGTATCTAACCATGTCATCTGACACGTTTTCTCTGCTTTCAGCCTCATCATATTTTCATCTTCTCTCTTTTTCTACCTCTCTACTTTTCTCTTGCTTCATCCCTCTATTCTGGTCCGACATCCTTTTCCTCTCTCTCTGTTCTGATTTCTGACTTGCTCCTTTCTGTTCTGTGACATTGCCGGAGCTGCTCACACACATGCACACTCACACACATGCACACTCACACACATGCACACTCACACACATGCACACAGTCACAGAGTGACACACAGACACTCCCTGCTTGAGATTAGCCGGCCTATTTGAGCTGTGCGGCATTGCTCTTAGGGATTGTGTATGATGGTGCGTGTGACATGTGTGGCTTGTGTTTATGTACGTGCACATGCACATAGAGTGTGTGTGTGTGTGTGTGTGTGTGTGTGTGTGTGTGTCTGCATGTGTGACAGAGAGTGCCTCCAGAAGTGTGAAATAGAGGATTTGAGGCAGCTGCATTTGTCATGGGGCTGTGACTTTAAAGCTTAAATTCATAACTTTTTCACACGTTCAAACTACAGCAGAGATCACAGAGTATAAAATGTGGCATTTGTAAGTAGTTTCACCTTCTTATAATAACTGGTCTGCATGAAGAACGTCATGGACAAACCCGGGAAAGGTTTACATGAATAAAAGCAGTAGATAGTGTTGGCACTTCAGGAGGTTTGACCTGATAACTCAACTTGAATTGCACATTTGCACACCTCCACTTTGCACTTTAATAACTTGAATTTCCATTCTGGTCCGGGCTCTTGACTGATTTTATTGCGCTGTTTTTATTTGTTTTGATATTTTGCTGTGTTGTCTGAGTTTTTAAAAAAATTTTGTTTATGTTTTATGGTGATGTTGTTCTTGTGTTTCTTGTCTTCTGTGTGCTCCTGTTGCAACGCAAATTTCCTCTTGTGGGACAATAAAAAATCTGAATCTAGCACAGAAAATCAAAACATTTGAGTTTTCATTGCCATTTTATTACCAACTGTTCCTAGAGTAACACGTTAATGTCACATGATAAACATCACGCAGGAGCCAAGACTCAAACTGGTAATCTACTGCAGCCTCTTTGTTATTTTGCACCACATGGTTGTCATATTCACAAAGACACGCCAAGACACATGCCAAGTCTTTCTCTCTCACCTCTCTGTCTCACACATAAACAAGTGTATCGCCTGCAGTGGCAGTAACTGATATTATATCTCTCATGTGAATGGGATGGTGTGCTCTTTCTGTGTTGCTGCAGCTTGTTCTGATACGGCTGAGATATTTGAAATCATGGAGTGATTTTGCAACACAGTATGTTTACACATGAACCACTGAGACCAGATAATGTGGTCAGTGTAACATGAAGAACACTGAATCAGAATCAGAATCAGAATCAGAATCAGAATCAGAATTGGGTTTTATTGCCAAGTACATTTACAAATTCCTTCCTCAAGGAATTTGACTTGGTGTATTGGTGCTAAACAATTAACAAGGAAATAAAGCAGAACTAGAAACAACTTAAATAATACAGAATAAGAAGATATTACAATATATAAAATAGAATTTAAAAATGTAAAATATAAAATACAAAAAAATAAAAAACACAAAAGGTGTAATGTCGGAGCTGTGCAGTGGACTATGAGTGTGTGTAACTACTCACTGTTGTTGGATTGTGAATGAAGCCGTCATCTCCTTCCTCCTCAGGTGATGTCATCGTCTACATCAACGACATCTGCGTGCTGGGGACCACACACGCGGACGTCGTCAAGCTTTTCCAGTCCGTGCCCATCGGTCAGAGTGTCACCCTCGTGCTCTGTCGGGGCTATCCTCTGCCCTTTGACCCCGAGGACCCGAGCGGCGCGGCGAGCAGCTCCATGACGCCCATTGGCCTGGAGCATCGCCCCCTAGTGGTGAACGGCCGCGGCAGTTACGACCCCTACTTGGAGTATCTGTCGCTGAGCTCCCAGCTGCCTCCTCAGGCTCTGGCGCAGGCCTCGCACCCGGGGGACACACATCTGGACGGCTCCTCGCTGCCACCCACCACACCCGGTTCGGCGTCGGCGCTCACACCTCATGAGGACAACGTGTCGATGGCGTCCTCGGGGACTGCGGGGATTGCTGGGGCCACGGCACAAGCTGCAGAGCTCCTGACGGTTACTATGGTGAAAGGATCGGAGGGATTTGGGTTCACTATTGCAGACAGTCCCACCGGTCAGCGAGTGAAACAGGTGATACATCATGACTGTCTGTGTATATCAGGGTTTACTATCAGACCTCTCATGGTTCAGACATTGGAGAGCATGTTTATAATAACTTGTGTTTTGCTGCCTTTGTTTCAGAAAGTACATTTCAGTAAGCTGGAGTAGAGTATGGAAATTAAAGGCTTTATATGAGATGTTTTGATCCAGCAGATGTCGCCCTTGAGCACCAGCATGAAACCAAAACAACTTGCGCTGCATTGTTGTGTTAGCATGCTAATGCTAGCGATCTTTATTATGCTGGTATCTTCACACTGCATGTAAATTTACCTGAAATGAGCGGGATCTAGAAACACAGTTAAGCAGTGAGTACAGTATGTTATTCTTCTTTTCTCTAGTCCCTCAATTAAACAACTTTTATACACGAGGGGAGGAGTCAGCCGGCCGTCCAGGCGATGTAAACAAAGTGAAGATAGGACTCTGAAAACTCTGAAAACATCACAGACAGTGGGACTCGGGTGTTACACCCATTGTAGACAGTCATGACTCACAGAGTTATTTTCAGAGGAGATACTTGATTTATATTATATTTAAGTGTGAAAAATCACATATAAAGACTTTAAGTTAAGGAGGTGAGCTGAGCTGCTGATGCATTTTTAATCTACTTCAAATCTATAAATGAATAAAGACAAGACTGACCTAAAGAAACCATGAAATAAAACATGACAACTTACCTACAAGGAAATCTGACTGTTAGGAATTTATAAAAGAGAGTCGATGAGTTGCAATGTGACAGAGGTTATTTTTAATCCCTATTGGATTTCTACAATAAAACAGAAAACCTCAGAAAACTCAACATCTGTCTTTGTTTTATGAGTTTATGAACCCTACTCTTAAAACAAAGGATTAATTCCACCTGATGAGTAAGGTGATTGCAAAATTTTCTCGTGTATTTTTTTCTTATAATATACTTTTTATCTCAAGTTATTGACATAAAAATTGTTATAAGTATATTATAAGAAAAAAATACACTAGAAAATTCTGCAATCACCTTACTCATCAGGTGGAATTAATCCTTTGTTTTAACAGTAGGGTTGATAGTCGATATTCTTTGCAGCATTAAGAGATATAAGATGCAATATTGTCCCTGAATAAAAAATAAATCATGTTTAGGTCTTAAGTGTGACTCAGGTGTATTGACTTTGATAGGTAATGAAAAGTTAGTCAGTGAGATTAGAAAGTGACTCAAATCAAATCTCAGCAATCCAACAAGTCTGAATGTTGATGTGTTGTGTTGCCATGGTGCAGGTGCTGGAGCCCGGCTCGCAGGGCGGGTCTGGGCTGATAGAGGGAGACCTGATCCTGGAGGTGAACCAGCAGCCAGTGGCTGCAGCGGGACATGGGAGAGTGGTAGAGATGCTCAAAGAGTGTCCTGTTGGGGCAGAGGCGACACTTCTCATTCAGAGAGGAGGAACAGGTAAGAGATTTTTTTAAATCTATACATTTTGTGATTTGAAGATTTGTAAGGACTTAACTGCATATAGAACAGATTGATGGTACATGACATTTTTTTTATTGTACTTGCATGGTTAAGTGGAATGTACCTTTGCTAGACACATGACCCTGTTGAACGCCACACGCTGAAACCCGCCCGCGGTGTTAATAAAGTTGATCTTCATACTACAAGTGTTGCCGGGGCTTTTTGACCTCTACAAGCCTTTCACTCTTCATGCGCCTTGTTAGTCGGTGAAGTCATGCCCGAGTATCCCGCTCTGCTTCTTCAGCACACTTTCTAGACAGTTAAAGTCATCCACACTCTCTTTAATGGAGGGGGGGGGGGACGTCTCAGACCCATTAATGCCAGCAGGAGTGACTATAACATTGAGGCAAGAATCAGAAGTTGAATCTAATTTACTTTCAGGGACAAAGTATTTGTTGTGAAAACTTCTGAAGGATGTTGGCTTGTGATTCAGTTATCATGTTTACCTCACACCTTCAGCCCCAGCAGCAGAAGCTCTGCAGGTAGAGGAGTCAGGTGGAGCTGACAGTGAGAGCTGGAAGTCAAAAAGATTTTGATTAGAATTTTGATACTTGTTCTATTTTTAAACACTTTTAAATCACAGTGGGCTTTCATTTGCTCATATTTGAGTCCCTAGAGGACACCATTTTTTTAAATATTGGATACTTACGAGGCTAGAAGAAGTTTGCCTGGCACAAAACTGGGCGGAATCTACAAAGGGAAAAGATTTAATGAATATTTCAGCAAACTAATAATTTCTTCAAGTTGGATGAAAAAAAAAGAAACTTAAATCACCCCTCTGGGAAAGAGGAACTAGTCAAAGGCAATATAAATCACTGGAGAAATAAAACATCATTTTTGAATCTTGGTCATATGCACTGATTAATGCAGAGAGAGTTCTCAAAAATATTAAGATCAGAAAACAGTGTGAGCAGATGTCGTAGTAAAGGATGAGTGTGTCACACCATGTGTTGCCAGTGTTTTATTAATGAGGCTTCATCACCAACATGTCAGCTGTGTTTCCTCTGCGACAGACTGGAGACCACCGGGGGGGAATTCAACACAAGCAAATGTTTAAGGATAAGGCAAATCAAAACATGATACAATTCAAAATGCAGCAGCGAGTTGGAATGAGTAATGCAAGTTCATCCTGCCGTTGGATCTCAGCTCTGTGGGTGGAGCTGGGATCAACACTGCTATGAGGAAGATGTTTCCTTCCTCATCATACACTTTAATGATGGTGATGCTTCAGTAATACAAACAGTGTGTTCTGAATTCACAAATCCAGATGTTTCTGTTGGGACAAGGAGAATTGTAACAACGGGTAGTTTAGATTCACAGATGTGTCTCTGTGTGTAGTTTGACCTCCCCCTGTCCTGTCTCCATCTTGAAAAGTATTCTGATAGATCTTAGGTTACACGAGCCAATGTTTCTTTCACCACCAACTTAAATATCAAGCAGACATTTCAAAATGGATTGTTCTTGATGTCTGTCTGTGTATTGAGATGTTGATTTCACAGGTAGTGTTGTTCCACAGAGACTGGTGCATCATGCATCACTGTAACAATCTCTGAATTGCAATGAGCTGCTCCACTAAACCTTTCAGCACAGCATTCACAACATTCAGCACTTCACTTTCCTCATGTAGTTGGAGAAGGAATTTCTCCACAGACAGAAAAGAGAAATCAAATTCAGAGTGGGGAGGATCAACATAGATTAAGGCCTGGCTCACACTGTACGATTTTTCCCCAATTGTATAAAAGTCGGGGTGTCATGTCAGCTCACACTGTACGAGTGAAATCGGGACGGAGCGTTGACAATTGTTAATAAAGTTTAATAAAAAAAAAAAACAAAGGACGACGGTTGGTGAAAGAAGAAGGAAGTGGAAGTTGTTGTAGGATATAGAAAAGTTGATACAATCGTAGATATATGGAGACAAGTTTCAGAAAAGTGCTGCACTGATGATCTGTACCGGGTTGCGTCCTGCCGCTGGTCGCCATGACTACAGTCCTCCCTTGTTTGATTATATTGTAGTCACACACAACGTCTGCCGGACCCTTTCATGATGTAATCGTCAAGATTTTAAATTCTAAATATCTGACGATCGCTGGGCAGATCGGGGACGTTAAGATTGGATCTTTGGACCGCTCACTCTACGAGATAATCTGAACAGATAATCGGGTTCGAGCAGCCTCGAGTCGGGAGAGATCCTGAGATTGTCGGGAAGAATCGGAGCTCAAATCGGCCCGATGATCCTGCAGAGTGAGCCGGGCTTAAGGCCATTTTCCCTTCTTTTGTGCAAGATCGGTCGTTAGTGAGAAAATGAAATTGCTCAGTGCAAGCCTTATTTGTTTGACATGTGCTCAGGCACTGATTTTCTGACTGTGGTCAGTGGAGACTCAGTGGTCAGAATTTGGCTGAATAATTACCTGGCGGTTGTCTTACCACTGAGTTTATTAACCATCAGACAAACTCAAACCAATGATTACTAACCACATACCATCGTTCAGCAGCCTGTTTTAAGTAAAGAGAGTGAAGGAAAGTCAAAGTTTGTATGTTTTTAGTCAGGTTAATAGTTACACATGATAAAGTTAACATAATCATTAAGTCTGTAGTTTTCAAGAGATAACTTGCAAAGGGCAAATGTTTAATATGCATTGTTTCTGAGATGATATCAGAACAACAAAGAACAATTAAATCTGCGCTTTTCTGTTGCACTGCCTTTTCATGATTGTAATTTATAGTGTAAAAAAACAGTCAGCCTCTTCTGCAACTCAGGTTTCATTAATTGAAGTGTGACAGGGATTATTACTTCAGACCTGAAAAGCAATCAAAGACTTTAGCATGATACATAAGACGTTCTGATGGGAGTGCTGATGGAAGGTTTTGCCAATTTTAGCCAGTCCCATCTACAGTCCTGAAGTCCATTATTGAATAACGGGGGGTGTATTGAACAACTGTTGTCTGGTGCTGGTGATTTGATTACGTTCTGTTTGTTGCTCAATGAATTAAACTCAACTGATTACATGAAAGCTTTTTGAAAAGTGTTTAATCTGTGTTGGATGAATGACTCAGGATTCTGGATTGCATGTGTTTCACTGCATGTCAGTATGCATTGGATGTGAACATGAGCAGCTGAGTAAAAAAATGTTGTGGTGCTGAACACTAATTTATGAGCACGCAGAGCCAGCAGCTGCCCCCTTGTGGCTAACCTCTGCTAAGACACACTCATGTTTTTTATGGTGAGTTAACCCATTTAAAAGGCCACTGAAATTCAATATGCAAATGAGACATCCCACACACAAAAACGTATGCATTATCACACACACTGATATTTATTCAAATCAACACACACAAACAACATCCTGTAGTGATTTGTTTTTAAATACTGAGCTTAATGTGATGAGCTGATGAATCTCCTACTAACATCAACACAGTGACCTCACAGGGACTATCAGCCTGACATACTCCAAACCTCTGTGACTCTGTGACTCTGTGCATTTGCATACGTGTGTGTAAGTGTGTGTGTGTGTGTGTGTGTGTGTGTGTGTGTGTGTGTGTGTGTTGGGTCACAGAGAGGGCAAGGTGACTCAGTTGTGCAAAATGTCAGAATAATTAAAAAAGGTTTGTGTTCACTAAAGTAGGATTCACATTCAAAAGGATCAGTGGAATTTATCTTCTGAGTGCGGTTTCAGGTGTTTGACTGGAAGTGTTGGTGCTTTGTGTAACACAGACATGGTGTCAGACTTCTGCTGCATGTGGGAGTGTGTGTGTGTGTGTGTGTGTGTGTGTGTGTGTGTGTGTGTGTGTGTGTTTGTCTCTTTGTCTGACTGGGGTAGTGTGGGCACTCGGCCAGAGTTCCACTGAGTTCTGGTCGTGTTCACAGCTCTGTCTCCCCTGACATCCCCGTTTGAGGCAGAGCCAACCACACAGAGATTTAGCTCCACCAATGAGAACGCAGATCATGGCTACACAAGCCAATCAGGGTGATCTGAAGGCCATCCAAAACTCAGCGGGCGAGTCTGAGAAGCCAGCCTGCCAGACTGGCTGACCGCTGACTGGTGAGAGAGAGAGAGAGCCTCTCTACCAGTCACTCATTCTGTAATTCATCAGCGTTTATCCACCACACATCCAGCTGCTATGCTGATTAGCATTTAGCTTCTATTAGCATTTAAATGAATCTATGAGGACGATGCTTCTCTTTAATATGAGTGTATCTGTTGGGGCCAAATGGCTATATGAATGATTTATGGTTAAAAATGGAAAAGAGCCAAACATTAATGAATTTAGATTTATTTGTTTATATTATTGTTTATTCTGGCTTATTTTGGTTTTAGCTTTTGTTAATTGATTTGGGGGTATTCATGCCTAATTTCTCCCTCTTCGGGGCGGAGCCGCGGCCTATCGGCAGTGTAACTTAAGTTGATTGAGGACACCTTGGGGGGAGAGTGGGAGTGGGGAATCGGAACAGTTTTTTGACTGCAAAGGGGATACGTGATAGAGCGATCTGATTTGTTTATTTTATTTTGTGAAGTTTAGTTTTTGCGGAAAAGTTTCTGTTATTAAATGTAGCCTGTAAGTTATAACTTTGGATCCGCGGCTGCCTTTTGTTTTTTTATTTGATAGCGTGTTAATCCCGCTCAGTAATAGCTTACCTAATTGATTTTGTCTGAAGTCATGACAGTATCATTGCCTCGTAGTTCATTCTCATTTTGGTGGTCAAATAGAAAAAGTTCCCTGAGAGTGAGTAGAACTCCTTAAAGGTTTCCCTAAAGGCCTTTATTCCCTGCAGAACTCAGTTATTAGTCCCAGCCTCCCACAGAGCCCCTCCCCTCTGCTGCTGCTGCTGCTGTGCTGAATCATTTCAGCACCACAGACAGCTCTCCTCAAACCTCTCTTCATGTTTGTGCCATTCTGCGATAGAGACGGGTTTTATTGCTATATTTTATTATTCTGGTGTCATTCTCCAAGTTCACAGACACAGCAGGGACATTTTTCAAAATGGAAAATAATTCCAAGGTTCTTTCATTGAGCAATAATATTAAGGAGGGCTGAATGTTGTTGTTTTTTAAAGAGAAAATAAGTGATCATTGTGTTGTTTTCTTTCAAATATCTATCCATGCTCAGATATTTTTAATGAAAGCTTTTCCTGCTCCTAAGTACACTCGTTAAGTCATTCTATAAATAAAAAAACAACCGGTGCTCTTTGGCATTTCTCAGGAAATCTCATACACTGAATAAATATTTAATACATCAGGAATCCCAAAAGGTTATTTTTAAAAGAACCCCCATCTCAAGGGATCATCATGGAGGCTGCGGGGGTCTTGATGCTTGATGAGTGTGTTTATATGTTTCTGTCCAGATGTGTGCATGTGATTCAGGCTGCACGTTACCCTGCCATGTTGAATGTATGTATTTGGGTCTCTGCAGCATAAATGTCTTTGATTCAGTGGAGTCACAGGGGAGCTGCGCTGATGAGACCGCTGTTGTGATGTAGAGTAGTGCTCCCTACACACAGATAAAACATGACTTACAGGAGAGTGTGTGTGTGTGTGTGTGTGCGTGCGTGTGTGTGTGTGTGTGTTAGGGGGAGGGGGTCTGTGCTTTTGCCTGCAGCTAATGATGTAATTATGTTGAAAACAAACGCAACAACCAAACTCGTTTAGGAGGAGTTACACAAATAAAAATCAACACAGAATAATATGAAATCAGAAACCAGAGATTCATGAGTAATGTTAAGAGAAGATCATTTCATGCTTTTAACCCCCCCCCCCCCCTAATATCTCATACAAACATGTTCTGTCCTGTGTGGTTCTTCATTTCTGTCTTTTGAACAGATGATCTGTTAACTGTGTTTTTTTCTTTCCTCCTCAGGTCACATCTCTCCATGGAAGACCTCCAAACAGGTACAGTGATTGAATCCAACTGTGCCGCTTGTGTGTGTTCAACCTGGGGAAAGGAGGGGGGCAGGGGGGGTGGGGGGGGGGGTGTTCTGGTGCAGATGTTTTTGTTGGAGCATAGGGGGTAGGATAAAAGTGTGCAGGATCAGTGGCTTTTTGCTTCATTGTGAAATGAGCCGACGTGTCCTGACCTGCTCATTGGTTTGTTTACGTCAGATGTGTCTCCTCACCAGCTGGGGAAGAGCTCTTTAGATTCCTACTTCAACTGCGCCTGCTGCTCGTACAGTCAGCTGTCACCCATGATATCTATTCAGACAGGATATATCTCAGCTTCTTTAAAGGCTTCATATGTGATTTTTTGATCCAGCAGATGTCGCCCTTGAGCACCAGCATGAAACCAAAACAATTTGCGCTGCATTGTTGTGTTAGCATGCTAATGCTATCTTTATTATGCTGGTATCTTCACACTGCATGTAAATTTACCTGAAATGAGCGTGATCTAGAAACACAGTTAAGCAGTGAGTACAGTATGTTATTCTTCTTTTCTCTAGTCCCTCAATTAAACAACTTTTATACTCGAGGGGAGGAGTCAGCCGGCCGTCCTGGCGATGTAAACAAAGTGAAGATAGGACTCTGAAAACTCTGAAAACATCACAGACAGTGGGACTCGGGTGTTACACCCATTGTAGACAGTCATGACTCACAGAGTTATTTTCAGAGGATATACTTGATTTATGTTATATTTAAGTGTGAAACATCACACATAAAGCTTTAAGTTGAACTTATGTATTGTTGGTGTTTTCTTTCTAGTTGCCTGACCAGTGGGACCCACATGGCAGCCCCCAAGCGAACCTGTCAGGCCCAGTCCTCCCACCAGGCACACCCTTCCCAAATCAGCCACAGCACCGCACGTCTGTGCCCGACTCCACTGAGGGCTTTGACCTCAACAAACCCGACCCTTACGACCTGTACGAGAAGTCAAGGGCCATTTACGAGAGCCGACGTGAGTACTCGACTAAGATCGTTGGAGATGAATAGAATAGAATTACTTATTGAGAATTATTAAGAATATTAAGAATAGATAAATAGTAAATAAGCACTTAAAATATAAAAAACAAGAATAGGTAGAGATGTATACATTAAGGCTTTAACTTAACATTCCTACTGGTTAAAAAAATGAAATATTAAATACAACATTTCTTCAGGCTTGTCAACTGAATGTAAAAATACTTGCTGGAGGTAAGAGATGTAAGTTTGCAGAAACAGCGATGACAGTGGTAATATGTTAATATGTAATGAAGAATTGCGTTTCTATAACTGCACACACCATGGTGGTTTGAAATCAAAGAGTCAACCTTTAATGTCTGCACCCTCGTCTCAGGTCCAGAGTACGAAGAGGTGGAGGTGCATCTGCTGAGGGAGAAGACCGGGTTTGGCTTCCGTATCCTGGGGGGAGACGAGGCCGTGCAGGCTGTGAGTCCGGACGCCCGTGACAAGGCTCGTATGGGACGGGCTGGACCACACACATATTTAACCTCATACACACCGAGCTTGTATGACTTTGCACTTGACCTCATCTCACACTTCATCCAGTCAGCACAACATCCACAAACACACACTTAAGCCTGGCTCACACGGTGCGATTTTCCCCTGATTGTATAAAAGTCGGGGTGTCATGTCAGCTCACACTGTACGACTGAATCGTTTACGACGCCCGACCAGACCTTGAGATTGACGTGCTCACACTGTACGAGTGAAATCGTGACGGAGCGTTGACAATTGTTAATAAAGTTTCATTTGAAAAAAACAAAGGATGCTGGTTGGTGAAAGAGAAGGAAGTGGAAGTTGTTGTAGGATATAGAAAAGTTGATACAATCGTAGATATATGGAGACAAGTTTCAGAAAAGTGCTGCACTGATGATCTGTACCGGGTTGCGTCCTGCCGCTGGTCGCCATGACTACAGTCCTCCCTTGTCTGATTATATTGTAGTCACACACAACTTCTGCCGGACCCTTTCATGATGTAATCGTCCAGATTTGAAATTCTAAATATCAAACATGTTTGAAATAAATCGGGGCGTCCCGACGATCGTCGGGCAGATCGGGGACGTTAAGATTGGATCTTTGGACCGCTCACTCTACGAGATAATCTGAACAGATAATCGGGTCCGAGCAGCCTCGAGTCGGGAGAGACCCTGAGACTGTCGGGAAGAATCGGAGCTCAAATCGGCCCGATGATCCTGCAGAGTGAGCCGGGCTTTACTCACACACCTTGGCTGTCTCTCACTGTCCTGACGCTCTAACTGCTCAGTACCTCCCATACTAAAACAAACGCCTTGCTAAGTTGTCCTTGTGTGAAGCAGCATGCAAACCCAAAAACTAGCTCAGGCCCCTTGATCCTCTTCATACATGATGCTAATATTGATTGTCTTTGAACAGATTGTTATTGGTGCCATAATAGAGAACACTCCGGCTGAGCGTGACGGACGGCTTCGACCCGGGGACGAGCTCATCTCTGTAGATAAAAACGTGGTTGCTGGGAAACCACACAAATACGTCATAGACCTGATGCACGCAGCTGCTCGCAACGGTCAAGTCAGCTTGACTGTGAGAAGGAGAGTGCAAATGCCCGGTGAGGATCTGTTGTGCTTGTTGTTTTTTTGTTTGTTTTCTTCACAGGAGGACATGCTGCACATTTCACTGGCGTCAGATTAAAACACACATGCTGAAAGTGTGTGTGCAGGATCAGCTTGTACTTTTCACCCACGCTTTGTTTCTGTAGAAGTAGATCAGGAATCCATCAATCCTGAGGGATACATTCTTCAACCAGACTTTGGGGAAGGTCAACACATTTTGGGGGTTTGGATAGTACAAGACATTCAAAGAAACAAAACAGCTCTCACATTAGCCTGCTCATGTGAGCTGCACACACAGCTGAAGTGTTCACCTCCCTGGTTGAAATGTTAATCAACATGAAGTTGGAGAAGTCTCCATCCAGAATGCTTTGGCGTCACTTTAACAATTAACTTTTAAAGCCATTAAAAGATTTGTTATTACAACTAATTAGGAAACACATTTCTGTTATTTTGTTGACTTGTGTTTTGTTCATTAAAAGTGCTGCAGCTGACTCTGTTGTTTGTGATGAAATGCAGTGCAACTGAAAGGGCATTTACATACACGAGAACAAACAGACGAGCAAAATGAGTTTTTGACAGAGAATCCTGCGGGAGCAGAAGAGACACTGTTTCAATATAAACAACAAATTCTACATCTTAAGCTGTTTTATATTAAAATAAGATTTTTATAAGATGAATGAACCACTAGGGGGTTCATTGGTCACATTTGATATGAGCAGAGCTGCTGCTTTGACACATCCCCTCTCTCTCGTCTTTCCTCCAGGTGAGCTGTGTCCTGTGAACGGTCGTAGTCCGGGCTCGGTGTCCACACAACACAGCTCTCCACGAAGTGACGCAGCCTCGGCTCTGGGCCCTTCGGCCCTCGCTATCCCCTCTGCCACCTCTCCTCCAGAGGGCTCTGCCCTGCAAACCAGCGATGTGGTTATTCATCGAAAGGAGAACGAGGGCTTTGGCTTCGTTATCATCAGCTCCCTGAACAGACCGGAAAATGCCGCCGTCATCAGTGAGTTGTTCCTGTCTCCAGCCCTGAAGTGTGTCTGTGATGTTTTTCTAAATAATGACAAACCATCCTGAAGGTGGTGACTGTCCTGTGGTGTTTCTATTTTTAGTTTGATCCTAATTTAAATAAAAATGTTTTCAGATATCAGATCATTTGCCACACACTGCCCGTCGTGTTTGTGCTGCATGAACACTTAAGAAACATGGTCAGAAGTGAAATATCTATTTAATTTGCTTTCCTAATAACCAGTGTGCTTCAAGTCCCCTAACAATTAAAACTGATTGTTTTCTCTTATCATATCGAATAGTTTAAAACTTTCATCAGCTGGGGTGAAACTCAAATTGACTTGTTTTTTTAGGTTTGCTTTTTATTTTGGTCTTAATTTCATGCCGAGGTAGCAATCAATTCTTTTGATACTGAAAAGGGAGTTAGATCTGAAGTCACCATGGTTTGACTGAAAAGGGAAGAAACCATCCTGCACTAATACTCCTTGCAGTTTTGTCAACATCCAATCCAGAAATATTTTAGTACTTTATTCAAAATAAATTCGAAGAATTGCATCCCACATTGTAAAAACATTTGTCTTGTTTGGATGTGGTGGTGGTGATAAATGATTTAGAAAATGATGTTTGATGTTGAAATGGAAGGCTTGAGTTGTATACTGCATGCTGAACCTTTTCCTGCCAGGAGAGACTTTCAAATCTTATTCTTCTTTCGGTTCTGTTTAATACCGCCTTATTATCGCCTGTTTCCAGCTGTGCCTCATAAAATAGGACGAATCATCGAGGGCAGCCCTGCGGACCGCTGTGGGAAGCTGAAGGTGGGCGACAGGATCCTGGCTGTAAACGGACAGTCCATCATCAGCATGCCGCACGCCGACATAGTCAAGCTCATTAAAGACGCTGGGCTAACAGTCACACTGCACATCATACCAGAGGAGGGTAACTGCTGCATATTGTTCTCATTATTATTTACATTCAAATGTGTGTCTGTGAAGCATCTTGTTTTGTTTGTAGTTAATTAACCCTCAGGCATCAGTTTCATTTACTACCCTCTTAAGTCACTAAGGACAAAAATGTCCACTTCCAAAAAAACTGCTATAAAAATAGATTGATATTTTTTTGCATAGATCTCTTAAACAACTCCAGCCCTGCTCAAAAATATCAAATATTGAATAATTATCAGGAATTTAACCCTTTAAATGCCAGTTTGATTACATGATTTGGTTACATTTTGTAAATTGGACATTTTCGCCCTCCAATGTCCAAACAGGGAACTATATTTTAAATCTGATGCTACACAAAAACTAACAATGCGTCAAAGTCAATATTTTGGATAATCTTTGACATATCCAAGACTGATTAAAAAAAAATCCCCCAACCACCAAATATTTGTTTTTTTCATAAATAACAACAGTAACATCAAGTAATCAAACTGGCATTTAAAGGGTTAAATTCCTAAAATTTTTTGATTGAATGTTTGGTAGTTTTGAGCAGGGCTGAAGTTGTTTAAGAGATGTATGCAGAAAAAAGTAGAAAGAAATATCAATCTGTTCTATTTTTATAGCAGTTTTTTGTAAGGGGAAATTTTTGTCCTTAGTGACTTAAGAGGGTAGAAAAAGTTCCTTTCCAAAGGGAAGTCTCAAGGACAAAATGCAGTTATGGGTTTGAGCTAAATGCTTCAATCTAAACTTCAGTCAATGCATTTAGACAGATCAAGAGTCTTTTCATCATGACCATTATAACAAAGCTTCGAATGATACAGTAGATATAATTTAGCTGTTTTCTCAAATACATTTCAGAACTGAACTGCTCTCTTGTTTTTTTTTTAGTCAATCTCTCTAGAGTTTCTTGAGATGTTAAATATCTTGTCCTTCACAGGTTCTCATTCTGGCCCCAGCTCTGAGAAGCAGAGCCCCATGACCCAGAAACATAGCCCCCAGACCCAGCCCAGCCCTGTAGCCCAGCCTGGCAAAGGAGGCGCCCAGCCCGGCCAAACGGTAGCTCAGACCGGTCAAGCGTCCATTCAGCCCGGCCAAATACCAGCCCAGACGAGCCAAACAGCGACTGGCCCTCATGCACCAGCATCCTCCCAGAATGCACCTGCTGGAACCCAGCATAGCCCAGTGACCCAGGCATCCGGACTCCCTCCTCAGCTCTACCTCCATGATGGCAGGTAAGACAGCACTAAGAGGGATTTCTTGAGTGCAGAGCGCTGGATTAGCCTAGCGGTGATGTTGTGCGCCCCGTGTATGGAGGCTATAGTCCTCTTGACAGCGGATGTGGGTTTGTTTTCCGACCTCGGCCCCTTTGTTGCATCTCATCCCCCTCTCTCTCTCCTCCCAACATTTCCTCTCTCTTAGCTGTCCTATTCTGGGAATGAGTTCCCACCCACTGATCTGTGATTGGTCTGTAGCTTCAGTGGTCGAAAATATGAGGAACTAGCGTTGTAGTTTCACCCGCTAACCGCAACAGCTTCCAGTGACGCAAATGGCGATATTTATATACTGGAAGCTCCTTTTCAGACTCAGAAATACAAAGATTTCTCATCTCAGGGGAAAATGAGGGCGGGATGCACGAGCATTCAAAAATACTACCAGGTTTCTAATGATACAAAGATTAATGCTAATGGGGGAAGTATCCCTTTAAGTGCTCAGTGACTAAACAGAGAATGATTGAAGGAAAACATAGAAGACATTTTCAGAGGCATCAGGTATCAAACGTAGAGTTAAGGTGAGTTTTAAACCATTCCTGTGACTGCTGAAAACTTCATCCATGACAGACTCTCAATCCCAAACTTGTTTGTACTTAGTTGCATAACGCCACTTCCAATGTAAATAATTTACCCCAAGGTGTCTCCTTTATAATGCAGGAACTCAACTATCAGTCCTGATCCACTTCAAAATGATAAATGTGAGTGTGTGCATGCAGGTCTACGATGAGGACAGTAGCCTGACCAGAGCTGTGGAGTTATCCCCCTTTTCAGGTTTTTATGATACAAGCTCCGACACAGATGATGTTTCTGAGCTTCTTAAATGACACACACTCAGATAACTGAACGTGATAACAGAGAACAAACCATATCACGTATTTTTGTAGCATCTCCATGGGGTCTAATGAGAATCCTCCTCTGGGATGTTTTCATTGGATTTTGGATCATTGCAGAAAATAATCTCTGTGTTAAACACGTTTCTGAAGCGTAGGCTTTTTGTTCAGCAGGATAATCTTCACAGATGAACGCCATTTTTATGATGTTTGAAGCGTTAATGCAGCCGACAGAAGTAAAAAGCTAACGTTATGCTAAAGCTAACTACACCACGGTGGGATGATTGTGACGTCACTAGCGTTATGCTTCAGACGATCTCTGATAAACTAATCCACGTAGCTTAATAAATAGTTTACTAACATAATATTCACCTGAACCTAAAGATTAAACCTACAGGAGACATCTCCGACTAGTGAGAGAGTTCTCGCCCTCTGTGTCCGGCGTGATGACCTTTAATGTCCCCGACAACCGCTGTAGTCACATTTAGCCTCTTGTTAGCAACCGCCTTTTTAAAGACGAGTAAAAACTTCCAACTTCACAAGTGGAGGTATTACCTAACGTAGTTTATGTGCTCTAACAAAACACCAACATCTCTTCAGCTTGTGTTAACCACAGACCTTATTTCAGGAGTCTAACCACAAACACATTCAACATCCCGTTGACTTTTAGACGTTAGACCCATGGTGCTCAAATGCTAACTTACTTCAGGGTTTAGGACTCATTCCTGTGGCGCTCTACGTCAGAGACACAGTCCCACTCACACGTAATGAGAGCGGCCCGTGTGATTCTTTGCCTTGAAGGACACAACCTTTCGTCGATACATTTAAAAAAAAACAACTCCCTCTCCTTCATGACATAAACCTCTCCAATGATCCCTCACAGGTCAGAGGTCAAAGCCAGACAGGACGTCAAACCTGACTACCGCCATCCTCCGTTCACTGATTACAGGCAACCTCCGGTAGACTATCGTCACCCACCGGTCGTTGACTACAGACAGCCCCCCACGCTGGACTACAGACACCCCCCTGGTCTGCTGGACTTCAGGCAGCACCCTGCCGCTGCACAGTTCCCTCTGGGGATTCCTGCGGACTTCAGACTTCAGGTAAAGTTGTTGACTCAACTCTGCACTGTGTTCAGTATTAAATCCACAAAGTCATCAGTATGCAGTCATGCCAACACCCTGTGTAGATAGTGTTAGAATTCTACAATTCACCTAGCAGACTCTTTTATCCAAAGCGACGTACATCAGAGAGTAAGAACAACACAAGCAAGGATCTAGAAAAAAGGAACAATGTCAGTAAGAGCAAACGATCAGCTTTGAGTCTGATTGGACACACAGGTGCTGACAGGAAGTGACCAGAGGCAAAGCACAACATTGAGGGCAGTTCTTGAGAGCTCTAATCAGTATAGAAACCATCTTATAAGTCGTCGTTATCAAACAAAAACCATCGTCATTACCATCATCATCATCAATAATATGGAGACCATCATCATTAAGTTAGTAGGTATTCATGAAAGAGCTGGGTCTTTAGCTTTTTCTTAAAGGTGCAGAGGGACTCTGCAGATCACATGGAGTTTGGAAGTTCATTCCACCACCGGGGGGCGACAGAGGAGAAGAGTCTAGTCAGAGACTTAGGACCCAGCATGTTGGCACCATTTTCCCAGTATATTGGTGGGATATGTAGTTTTTAAAAAAAGCTGTTTTCATTTGCAGGACTACGATTACTTCACAGTCGAGCTGGAGAAAAGTTCAAAGGGTTTTGGCTTCAGTATCCGCGGCGGCAGAGAGTACAAGATGGACCTGTTTGTGTTGCGGCTCGCTGAGGATGGACCTGCCATCCGTAATGGAAGGATGAGGGTGAGATGACACACATGACATGATGAAAACCTTGAAAAAGTGAAAAACGCTCCTTTAGAAGAGAAGTGGACCTGCTGTAAGTGAAGAACTACTGATGCTCCGTTTAAAGATTTAGAAAAGGTGTTTCTCACTGAATGTCTGGAGTTATCCGTTGCCCTTCTCTTTTCTTATTCAGATTTTACTTCACTCTCTTTCCCTCCTTCTTTATGGGGCACATATGGTTTCTAGGTTAGCAAAGCAGCAAAGTGAGTAGGTGTTAAGTGTGTGTGTGAAACATTGCCATAGTAACCCCCCTGCTCATCATCAGGTGCACTTAAACACGGCTCTGGATGCCCTCGTTCCCCTTGTTGCTCTGGTCAAGTCTTTGGCTGTCAAACAATTGGGAATTGATGAACAGACTGTCAGAAATCAACCCCTGTCCTGTGTGACCCCTCCAGGTAGGGGATCAGATCATAGAGATTAACGGAGACAGCACCCGGGACATGACTCACGCCCGCGCCATCGAACTCATCAAAGCGGGAGGCCGGCGGGTGAGGCTGCTGCTGAAGCGAGGCACGGGACAGGTACCTGAATATGGTGGGTATTTAAAGACACACATTCAAGTCTCTAAAGGGGTTCCCCCTCTTTCTGTGTCAGATCAGATGTCTTTATCACTTTCATAGTAGGAGTCACAGTTTTAGGTTTGCTGGCTTTTTCCCGCAAATACTTTTTAACTTTTTTACTCAAGAGCGTATTAATATGCATTACATTAATATCTTCTTGCATTTTTCTCTCCTGGCTCCTCAGTTTTCTGTCTGTCATCTGTAATTCACAGTTTGTGTTTATGTGAAGAACAGCGTTGATCTAACAATCTCTTTGTATTTCGACCGCTCTGCTTCTATTCTAATGATTTGTATAGGCTTTTTACTTGCCTTCCCTCAGGAATGGTACCTTCCAACCTCTCCATGTGCATGAAAGGTGACACACTAAGCTCCCCCTATTTCTTCCTAATGGGCCACTCTAAAGACACGGTTTGTGAAAAAAAACTGCACGTCTCTCTCTCATCATTCTGACCATTAATATCTGTGAAGTGGAGCTGTGCTTTTTGGGCAAATCATGATGCATGGATGCACGATCACAAGTTTACTGACGCATGGTTTAAATAGCAGCTGTGTGTGTGTGTGTGTGTGTGTGTGTGTGTGTGTGTGTGTTTATCAACATGTGTTTGCTTGCGTGTTGTAGTAAGAGACCCTCCAGATGGAACTATCGTTGTGAAGTAGATTGTGTGAAATGGATCTGCTGAGGATCAGTCTGTCACACAATCACTGATGTGTTCATTGTGTTCAAACACTGAACGACTCTTCAGGTGTGACATGTTGGTGTTCAGGCCTTTACACGGTCGCATGCAGGTTTGCCTGATCAAATATAACGGAGTGGCTTTCAGAGGTGTCAAGTAACGAAGTACAAATACTTGGTTACCTTACTTAAGTAGAAATTAAATCTATACTTTACTGGAGTAATTATTTTTCAGCCGACTTTTTACTTCTACTCCTGACATTTTATAAATGGCCTCGTTACTCCTGTTTCATTTCGGCTTGTTTTCATTCAGAAAAATAAAAACCTATCGAGATAAATCGCGCCATCCGGATAGAGTGAATTTGATTGTGGTTGGCAGGGTTCCCACTCGTCCTGGAAAATCACCAAAAATTATTCCAACACTCCTACAGGGTTAAACATTTTCACCGCCACGCGTTATTAAAAGTATTTGTTACATTAATCCACATCGCAGATTAAATGGAAGTCTGTAGATAATGTTATGGCTCCGCCTCCCCCTCGTGTCAAAAGTGGATATTTATTTACAATTTAGTTGAGAGGATGGAGCGAAAAGATCCTTCACAAAAAGAGAAAATGAAACATGAGTGGCAACGACAATCAGGTAGACTTGAGTTTTCTCTTCAGTTTGAGGTCAGCACATCAACATACCTTTGTAGCTCACAGTGGGTGTGAGCCAGTTAAAGAC